CCCTTAGCATTTGCCTATACTGCCTATGACACGGGCCGGACCTGAATGTAATGATGCTTAATAGTGTCATTTGTTCTTGGATGCTCTTCAGTATTACTTTACCTTATTATATGGAGCAAAACCTAAGTCGTGATTTTACCTATTTTCTAATTGCCACTTTACTATCACATGTCAATGAGAAACCGTCTGTTTTAATAGTCAAAACCAGTTTCCATTTTGTTGTAACTAAAATAGCCTATTAAACTGTAAAAGGGACCCCTACTGAGTTGGAGCTGTGTGCCATGGTTGGTCAGTTTCCAAAACCAGACAAGGATCGTTTTGTGAATCAGCTGACATATAATGCCATTATTATTCTACTAAGACACATACTGTACAATTGATTTTGACACGTTTAAGGGGTAGATTTGGTGATGCAGAGCAAGCTGACTATCACAGTTCAAGATAAGGATGCACATAGTAGACCTAACTGTATAAAGGCCTATAAAACTCAGTTAATGCATTGTGCCCTTAATAGTGGAGGCTCAAAGAAGCAGCACACATCTCACTTCCACTCATCTGTATTTGAGTATTACATTTTTAAACTAACAAGCCTACATTTCTTGTCCTCGGTGAGCACATCTAGATTCAGGGCCATGGTTCCAATGAGTAGATTTTTTTTGTTTCTCCTGTTCTTTCTAAATTGATGCCTCTGCACCACGATTTGAATCCACATCTCTTCAGAAATGTCAGGTATCCACTTCTGTCCACGTCATTAAATCTTTATTTCTTTGTACATATGATTGAGTGGCGTTTTTTTACTCAGATTGCCAGTCTTAAGAAGTTGGAGAAAACAAGGTGGTGAGGTAAATGGAATCATAATTGATCCATAGACACCTACTTGTTTTGTCCTGAGAGTTGAGACTGACTTGATGAGATCTTTAAGGGATTATATCATTGGTGGGAAACTCAGTCAGCTGTATCTGAGTCCACCACCGCCTTGGATGAAATCACTGAATTTAGTTTATTAAGACTTGAGGAATTCTTCTTAACATTAGTATACGTTGTGTCTGAGCAATTGAAATTATAAATTAAATTTTAGGTCCTCATTTTAACCTTTTTCTAAATGGATTTTCTTTTCACCAAGATAACTTGTTATTCCGACCTTGCGTAGCCTGTTTTACAGCTTTCTTATAATTAAGCGGTTTTATATGTTGTACTTTGAAAGGACACGGCAACTGTCTGACGTCACATCCTGTTGCAAGCAATGCTTCCCACCAGCGCCAAAAAGAAACCACCGCCACCACAGTCAGAAATGATGGTGTCGGAGAAAGAGACAACACGGCTCCGCAAGTTTGTGTGTGGTCAACTCCGTGATGAGCCCGACCTGAGGTACGGTGGAAGCCTTCACGATTTATTTGAACACGTGTTGTTTGGACCGAGTACAAGAACACGCCCCGTGTGTGTGTGTGTGTGTGTGTGTGTGTGTGTGTGTGTGTAGTTAACTGCTGCTAACCTTGAGCCACTGCTTTATTACCTCTAAATTTTGCATTTCACAGTCAGTCCGTCCTAAAGATGTACAGTGTTTTGTCTAATTTATAAATTACTCATCTAATATAATGTGGGTATGCAAAATGTTACTATGTAAAGATGTATTCTCAGCCTGGACTACAAAACACAAAGGCTTAAGGTAATTACAATATTACAGTAAACTGCCTCTTCCCTCACACACCTTCATCTTCTCTTTATTCCAGCAAACTGACATTAGGAATTTTGAAAAAGCGATATTTGGCACATGTGGGGCGTGAATCATTAAGTCCAGATGCCAGAAATTACATGAAACAGGTGGTTGAAGAGGAACTGATGAAAATGCAGGTATCTAAAGTCTTCCTTTAAACCTTATATACACTCAATTGGCAGTTTGTCCCATATACCCAACTAAAATTAGTGCAGTCTAATACATCAATCCTTCCACAAATCCTCTGTTTCTATTATTTAGTCTATCTTCATTAATTAAATGGGTGGGCAAAATAATAGATGATCGTCAGTTTTTTGTCCTGCTAGGACAATGACAAAAATGGAAGCAAGCTGGAGCCCAAGAAGCCACAAAACAAAAGAAAGAGAGAAGAGGAAAATGTTGAAGTGATAAGTGAAGATCAATCCATGGCAAAGAAATCCCGCTGTCAGTCAAACTCATCATCAGGTAGGTTTTAACTTTTCTTTCTTTCAAATGTATTTAGATGCATGTAACTGTGAAACATCCACAGTTATTATTAAAAGTAGGACATGGATAAAAACTAGCATATATCTCAGCAATTGAACATTATTCAGTATATGCATGTTTTTATTAAAGGCCCACAGACACGTGTACATAATTATGTTGCAGTGGAAGTTGTCATTAAGTATGCAGACAGCTTTAATTGTACTTTTTTTTTTACCTTGGTCTCAGTAAAGTATATTTTTGAAGTGATTTATAAGGTTTATTGTATTACAACATGCCTGAGTATAATGTATGTGGGTTACTTCAAAAGACAGTAGTAGAAACTATTTGCCTGTGGCCACAGTGCAGGCAGGTCAGGTATTGCACCAAAAAGGCCATTGCCATTCCAAATACTCTTACATACTAGTACCTACATTTACTTGACATTGTTTGCATTGTCTCCAATGAGGTTTGTTAATTATTTGGTGAGTTTTGTTGCTCTTGTGTGAACCATGAAATGTCTTTTCTTGTGTGGTAAATGACAGAATCGGAGGAAAAAGAAGAATGCAAAACAGGAAGTAAGGACAGTGAAGAGGAGGATCAAATTAAATCTGGAGGATCTGAGGATGAAGAGCAAGAGTTGGAAAAATTACAGCAAAAGACAAATGTCAGCAGTAAACAGCAGACGAACAGTGATGAGTCTACAGATGAGAGTAGCAGTGGTGGCAGTCCAGCAGAAACGATGAGACAGAAGGTAACCTCCTCAAACGATGGGGCGACAATAAGCAGCAATACAAGTAAAGGAAAGAAAACACGCCAGAGTGATGAAGAGGATGAAAATGAAACAGATCACCAGTCAGAAAGGAGTGACAAAATCAACAGTAATGAGTCCAGTGATGACGATGAAAAAGGTGACTATGCAAATGTAATACTTATCCCATATGTGTTTATTCATTTCTATTGTCATGATTTTTTTTTTTCATATGACTTGATACAACTTTCTGTTATGCTAAAGAAAAGGTGTCCAAGCAGAAGACGATTAACAACCCAGATTCAGATTCTTCATCATCATCACTCCCCTCTTTGGCGGATGAACAGGATAGAAGAGCAAAAAATAAAAAGAAGAAAAGCATGAAAACAGAGGATAGCACCAGAAATCAACAGGTGAGCACATGAGTGATGTTATGAATCAGAAGGATCCAGATTTGTGAAGAAAGATTTTTATTAAATCCTCAATATCCAAATGTTGCTTTGAAAAAGAAAAAAGTCACTTGATTTTTGCTTTCAGTCAGTGGTATTTTGATGTGATGTGTGATATTTATGGTGCTTGTTTTTTTGTGGGGTCATGTGATCTCAAATAAAGTTAAATGATTTTAATTTAAATATGGGCAGATACCAAAAAATTGAGCATCATTGCACTTTGCACTGCACATCATGATGTGCAGTATGGTTTAAGAGTATTCAAAAAATCTAAACTGGGTGGTTCTCGTTGCAGTATTTTACAAATGACTAAGGAGTAGCTTAAATATTTTGTTTGTAAATGGTAAAAGCCTTTACCCTGACTCTTCACATTAAGTAATGGTGCAGCAAAATGACTTTAACTACCCTCAGTGTGTTGAGTGCAGTCAAAATGCAACCTGCAAGATGAATGGTAGAAAGCAAAGATGAAGTTTTGAAACATACAAATGTTTTGAGTTATTATGAAGTAAAGATGAGGTATAAAGTCGAATGTTTTCTTCACAGCACATCTTAATGTTGGTTTCATCCTGCAGGGTGACGACAAAGCAATTGTGAAGCTCAAACGCTACATTGCTCTCTGTGGTGTGAGGCAGAATTACAAGAAACTCTTCGATGGCTGTGGCTCTGTTAACTCCAAGGTGGCTGTTCTGAAGAAGGAGCTTGAAGCTCTCGGTGTCCATGGTCAGTGAGAATACTGTCATAGGTTTTTGTCTCACAAATAGCTTGATTCTCTGTTGATACCAAGTGGTAAGCAAGTGAAAGGGATGTTTTTGGTTCAGTGTGAAGGCTGTAGATAATCCTAAAACAAAAGAAAAGCCTTCAGTACACTGTAAGTTTGTAGATGTGCAGTGTGACATATGTCATTTGCAAACACTGTAAAAAGAAACATTTTCTTTACAACTGACACAATTTGATGAAGTGAAGGAAGCATGGGTTAAAGTTAATAACATGAATGTGGTTTCACACAGGTAAGCCATCTTTACAGAAATGTAAAAAAGTCAGAATGAAGAGAGAAGAGGATCGGGAACTAGCTGATCTTGATGTCAGCAACATCATTGCCACACAAGGTATCTTTTTGTCTCTTTTCGTGGTTGTAGCAAATGTTACTTTGTGCGTTTCAAGTTTTGTTAATGTGATATGTATGAACATAATTGTAAAATGCCTTTTCATTTAAGACTTTGTGTCATTATGTTGTACCAGCGAATAATTCAAATAAATTTGCTGGTTTCTCCAGTGGGAAACTTATTGTATCAAACCTGTTGCATACAATAACGTAATAGTAAGTATACAGTAGGTGTCGAGTCGTTGATAACCTGGTTGGGTGAAGAAGTGCAGAATGCAGCTGCAATAATGTTATTCACAAACCATGTCTCTAATTTTGTAGCGTTTGAGTCGCCCGTGGTTGTCATTTTACTGCACATGCAAAATAAATTGATTGATTGTGACCTACTAACGTGAATACCTCTTTCAGGTCGTCCAAAACGCAGAGCAGCCTTAGCATGGCAGAAACCAGATGACCCTCCACTGTCTAAATATCAACACACTCTGAACTCCAGCTCTGATAGTGATCAGGAAAACAATACACCCAGAGTGCACAGAAGAGCAACAGACTGGGCAAACCTGCGAGGGATCATCAGTGATGATGCCAGCAGTGACTGACAGGGACACTTCCTTTTAAAAGTCTTCAGAGGCCACTCAGATATAGACATGACTTTCTGTTTGTACAAGTTGGGTTTTGGTCTTTAAAAATGACTTTCATGGTAAGAGTACTAATATTGCATGTTACTAAGACTAACACATTTTCTAAGATCAAATTTGACTATATAGATGGTGTTTGAAATATCTTTTTGCAACAAAATAAATTACAGTGGATGTAAATGATGATAAATTATTTTTATATATGTTCTTTAACAAATAAAAGTTCATAACAAACAACTGATTCCCTTGTTTATTTTCTTCTTCTAATTATATTTCTAACAATAGCCAAGACATACAGGAAAATAATTACAGGGGTCAATGAGTGGAATGAGGCAAGTGATTTGTTACAGAAGTTAATAGTTTTCGAGGGACTGGATCTGGAATTGAACACAATTGGAGACACCAAACAACATTATCATGAACCGGACGAAGATTTTGACCCTGAAAAAAACTTTAAGAACTCTGAAAATAACTGCAAGTATTGCACGGATGAGCAGTTTAACAGCAATGTCAAGACTGAAAACAAATTATCACTAATTCACTTTAATAGCAGAAGTTTATACGCAAACTTTCAAAGTATAAAACATTATCTTAGTAGTCTAAAACATTCTTATAATTCTTTAGTATATTACTTGTGTGGCGTAGAAGATAATTATTTATGAATGTAATTATGTAGAATGTTAACACTAATAATTCTGTAGTATATTGTGTGGTGTAGAGGATAATTATTTATGTAGAGATATTGCTTAGGACTTAAAAGTTGTAAGATGATGTCATGGGGTAGGACTGGATAAGTCTGACTTCTTCCTACTCCGTTCAAGCATGTACTAGGTATAAGTAAATTGATTTTGGATTATTATTGTTGGATATGTGTGAAATTGCATGTGTTGACATATCAACTGTTTTACATGCTTGAATGAATAAATCAAATCAAAACAAATAGCACAGTAGTAAACTACTATCCATAATAGTGTCAGGAAGTGAGTAGTAGAACTAAATCGTAATCTACTAACTTTTTTGATGGACATCTCGGCGTCACATTTCCGGAACTCATGTAAGTTAGCGCTCGGATTTACGGAATACTTTTAAATAGGGACTGGTCCTACAGGGTAATGTGTCCCCCGTGCTTAAACGTAGAGCTTAGGTATTTTTGTTAATTATTCTAATACAAGTATTGCTGTTTTATGTGTGTGTGACAGTGTTGTGTTATATCTGAAAGATATGAATGGGTGGATCGATAGCTATATTTCCAGTTAGACAACGTAGCTAGATACAAAAAAGAAGACGTAGAAACGTAAATTACATGTCAGAGTCGAAGCTATAGTTCAAAATAACAAACCAAATCAATAATAAGCATACGGCATTAATTTGTAGGCGGTATGTCTACATCACCAGGATGTGGGCCACATAGCTGTATATAGAAAGAGAATAGATATTTGGCATTTCAAGGCTCCGCACCGTCTTGTTTTCAACTACTGAACCTACTATTTCATACAGTATAAAGATAAAGTGTTACAACTGGTTTACAATATCCCCATTAGTGGTTTATAACTCGTACTCTTGTCAGTATTATCTAATATTACACTTTACATAGACCTTACACATATTTCATGCAAGAATGGTTGACGACACACCAGATGAAGTCCTTGCTGAGCTCAAAACCAGAAACCTTGGTGGCTGGGGTGTCGCTCAGATAGCTGCTGGCACTGGGCTTGCTGTATATGCTATGTGGGTGGGAATCCTCCAACCAGGTTTCCGAAAGGTTCCTTTGAGGCTACAGGTACTGTATGGTCTAGATCTTCATAACACTGAATAACTATTGCTGTAAAGGCTTCTACCAATTGTACTACTACAAAGGTTTGAGAAACGTCCTCTTATCAGAAGCTTTTTTAAAATTACTTCCAGGTCCCCTACATTCCTGCCAGCAAAGGTCAAGTAGATAATGTAATGATATTACTGAGAGGTCGAAAAGGAGGCCTTGTGGATTTGGGATCTGGAGATGGCCGCATTGTAAGTATGAGCGACATATTTTGGATCCATTGTCTTTCACTGCTGACCAATGGGTTTTGACTTAATAAATTTTAATTCTTAAGGTCTTGGAAGCTTTTCGGCACGGTTTCACTCCTGCTGTTGGTTTTGAGCTCAACCCCTGGCTTATTCGCCTGGCTCGCTTCCATGTGTGGAGAGCAGGCCATCATGGAAAAGTGTCATACCGACGAGAAGATCTCTGGAAGGTTTGACATTAGATTCTTGTGTTATGGCACTCCTGTGTAATATGATAGTTTCAGTGGAAATGTCTTCACTTACTGAAGAAGAAGATAGAGAGAATGAATGGCACACTCAGACTCCTTCCATATAAATTGCTGACAAATATCTTTATGCTTAATACACATAACCTTTGCTAGTTTTTCTGGTTTACCTTATTCTGATAGTCTGTAGACAGTCAGTGTCTCAGAAGATATCGACTTATTGTCTTCCCTTCAGTGAGAATTTCACATCATAACAGACTTCAAGAATCCTTCAATTAGATCTTTGTATTTTTGTTATTTGAAGCAGAGTTGTTGATAAAGTTGACCTGTGTACATCCTGCATTATATCTCATCACAGGTTGACTTGACAGAATGCAAGAACGTCACAGTCTTTTTGGCTCCTAGTGTTGTGAGTTACACAGTGAACAGATATCTATACACCATGAAATAATAGACTGTCCTAATGTAACCTACAGCCAAGGACAAACTATATTAAAGCAGTATTAAAATAAAAGTGAAGGTGAAACCCAGGAATTATGAGCTGTACTGGGCCACCTGCAGGTGCTACAGAAATTCCTGTCTCTGTCTACCAGGTTGCAAAAAATAAAATTATAAAATATTTTCCTGCCTAAATGTTCTTCCATTTAGAGAATTTGTATTAATGGAAAAACAGTTCCTAAACTGTTTGTTATACTCTTTAAGACAGGTGGCTACAAGTTGTTAAAAGGAACTTGAGTACCATGACTTGACTACTTTTTTTAAGATTCTAGACACAAGCAAAAAAAAAAGAATCTGTCTGGTTTAGGTGCAGCTGCATTCACATGCATAGTTTTAGTACATTTCTGTTAAAAGTATTGGAGTAACGGTTAACTGTGCTTATGTGTTCCTAGCTTTCATTATTGCAGGAGAAGCTCCAGGCTGAGCTTCCTGATGATGCCTTAGTGGTAGCTGGACATTTTCCATTCCCTGATTGGAAACCTTGCAGAACTGAGGGCCAGGGTGCAGACAGAGCCTGGGCATATAGCATGCAAGCACAAAGACAACACACCTTGAAAAATAACAAGTGCACCGTTACAAATGGTGATGTTACATTTAACTAACCAAGGAACAGAGATACACTTGAAGCTCCATTATATCATTAACTTGTTGCTTATATATGTCCTTCACTAGAATGTTAACATTTTACTTAACCTGACTGTCTGAATACATTAGTTAAAAACTAAATTCTTTTGACTACAGCAGGATATTTTTGATAAACTGTGTAAGGATAATAACTTGTTCCTTTTCACTCCAGTGTGGCACTGAATTGTGAGTGAGTACAAACAGAATTTTTGCACGAAGTCTCTCTTCTACAGTTTTGATGGGTGGATTTTCTTCATTATCAGCAATGTTTGAAACACTTTTTAACCAGAAATTCCTGAAAAAAAGCATTTGACACAATCAATCATGAGCTATTAATGGATCAGTTAGCAAAATATGGGATCAGGGGAATGGTTCTGAAATGGATTAGAAGTTACTTGACACAGAGGCGTCAATTTGTGAAGTTGGGTGAATACTAATCGAGTGAGCTGGACATTGTATGTGGAGTGCCTTAGGGTTCTGTTTTGGGACCTAAATTATTTATACTATACATTAATGATATATGTAAGGTTTCTGATTTAGTGAAAGTGGTTTTGTTTGCTGATGACACTACCATATGGGCATTGGGTGAAAACCTACAGCAACTCTCTGGACGGGTTTCACAGGAACTTGAGAAGATAAAGAAATGGTGTGATAGTAATATACTATCTCTGAATTTGGATAAAACTAAATTTATGGTATTTGGGAATCGTAGACTAGATAATGAACTTCAATTGAAAATTGGGGGAGCTAATATAGAACGAGTATATGAAATTAAATTTCTAGGTGTCATAGTTGATGACAAATTCTCCTGGAAATCTCATATCAGATATGTTCAGCATAAAATAGCAAAAAATATATTGATATTGGCAAGGGTTAGATATATTTTGGACGGGAAAGCACTACACGTTTTGTATTCTTCATTGATTTTACCATACTTAGAGTATGGCGTTGAAAACTTGGGAAATACATACAGAAGCTCACTTCAACCATTGTATATATTACAAAAAAGAGCGATAAGAATTGTGCATAAGATGGGGTATAGGGATCACACCAATGTAGCTTTCATACAGTCTAAATTGTTACAATTTTTTGATTTAGTGGGATATAAGACTGCTGTGTTTTTGTATAAAGCCAGGAACAATTTATTACCTGGTGGAATTCAAAAACTATTTAATGAAAGGGAAGGGGGATACAATTTAAGGGGTCAGTTAAATTTAAAAATTCATGCTATACATACAACCAAAAAAAGATTTTGTATTTCCATAAGTGGGGTAAAACTATGGAATAATTTAAGTGTGGACATAAAAAATAGTAATAGAATTGACGAGTTTAAACATAAATATAAAGGTATGTGTCAATCAAGATATATGCAAGAACAGGCTTAATGATTAATTAGATGGAACATTGTGGGTGTGGTGTATGAATGTTAACACTTTGTAATAATTCTTTAGTATATTACTTGTGTGGTGCAGAAGATAATTATTTAAGTATGTAATTATGTAAGAATGTTAACACTGTTATAATTTTTTTTTTTTTTTTTTTGTATAATACTTGTGTGGATAGAAGTGAATCATTTACTGTTTCCAAACCAATGATGGTAAGATGATCTCATGGGGTAGGACTGGACAAGTCTGACTTCTTCCTACTCCATTCAAGCATGTACTAGGTATAAATTGCTTTAATATATATATGGACTATAAATTGTTCTTTCTCATACACTATATGCTGAACATTTAATTTTGCAATGTAGAAATGTCCCCAGCAGTACAGACATCAAACTGTGTAATGGAACTACTTGGAAAGTCCTGCAGATAATAAATCAGGTTTGATGTAAACTTTTGCAGATATGCATGGTTCCTATGAGAGCAACAGCCGTTATATTATGTATATTCTTTCATGCTGTCTTGTGTTATGTATCCTTTTTTCTTTTATCTAACGTCTTTCATTGTCAGTCAGCCATATACGTCTATTTGTCTGTGTCCCGGTGTCTTCTAGGAGAAAGACAACATACTGCGGTCCTGTGAGCATTTATATGCTTTAGATTATATAGCGTGTAAATTATTTTTAGGTATGCTCATTTTCTTTCAATTGCAACTTCTTGCTCCTTATTTTTAAGTTTAACTGGCGCCACGATGCTTAGTGATATTCAAAAGTGTTGATCGTGCTTTTATTATTGCGACTTCCTTGACACAAATTAACGGGGTTGGTTTTTGTATTGCAAAAGAGGAAGTTGCGCAGTAAACCTTGTAACCAGCAGGCTGGCTGTATTGTTGGGCCGCCCCAAGCACTAAAAAGAAGAACAGGAATAAGCGCGTTTAGTATTATATGTTTTGTGTGTCTTTATAAACTTGTGAGATAAATAACGTAGGTGAGCATATATTAAATTACAAATAGTAACGCTAAAGACAAGTTGTCGTGACCAACAGTCCTAGAAGCATGTCAACGTTTGACAGCTAGCTAAGTAAAATTAGCTTTATGCCTTCATTCTTCAAGAAAAGCTAATAAGTTAGCCATCCGCTGCAACGTTAGCAACTGGAGAACCTAGCCACGAAACGCTCGACACAGAAAGCAATAAACTTTGCAGATTTCTCCAGTGTTGTAGCAAGTGTTAGATGTACCATAAAACGAGATTTCTGTATTTAACCTAACAGCAAATTAAACTCTACAACCATGGCGTTGACCTACCAATCCGAGGTAGCTGATTTGATGATAAGCCTAAAACATTATACTTGGTAACGATAATCGAAAACGCGTTTTATTCGAGCACGGTAAAAGTAACTCAGTTTAACGTTATTGCAAGCGACGCCAACCTTTGGCTTTGTTATGTAATGTTAATTTCCCTTGGAGTCTCCACCTAAGTAGGCGAGCAGATCATGATGAGCCCCCTCTGTGGTTGCGTTAGCCTGCAACACGTCAGCTAACGTTAGCTACAGATTTGGATAGCCGGGTAGCTAATGTTGTCTTATTACTCTACTTAATCCGAGACCAAGGAAACTGAAGAAAGCATCTCAGCCAGCTAAACATGGTAAGTATAATGTACCACATATTATCTAGATATTCACGTTGTCTTCCTGTCTTAGTTGCTGTTGGCCAATGTAGTGCATAAGCTTTTGATTATCGTTAGTAAATTATCTTTGAACAGGAAGCTCTGAAGTAACTTCTTTACACATTACTAATAGCATATGATAGTACGTTACTAATAGCATATGATAGTATGCACAGCGATCATCTGTGTCTGTTAAGTCGTATAACGGTTTGTGAGAGGCCAGGTATTTCACGGGTTGTGACAACTCTTTAAGCCATTTCGCGGAACAAGACGCCCATCTTGCAAAACCGAATATTTGCTTTGAGTAACCTAGCGTTAAGTCTCGGCAAGTTGTGGCTTATTTAAGGAGTTCAGACCCGCCTGCCGTAGGAACTGCTCTTTAAAGTCTCGATTTGCTGTCTGGTTTTTGCTATACAAGGCCCAACTTCCTCCACTTGTCAAAGCGTGGTGTAACAGTCAACAGCTCATTTGGTTTAATTACAGCTTGATTTTGGATATATATGACCAAAACTGAAAGTCTCATGCAATCCTCAAAGTTGCACTGGATTCAAAAGTCAGATGCCAGTGTGAATTGCAGACTTGCCAAATTATGTGATTTATATTCATGTGAGGCACCAGTGGTACACGTGCAATAACCAATTCTACTTGAAGGTATGGACACCTCAATATCGGTTTTCAGCTCACTAAGTGCCTGATACATACTCCTGCAAGCACTAACTTACATAAGGTGTTCTCTTTAAATGCATCTAAAAGGTTGTATGTTCATTACCCAGTACATAATTTAGACATTCTTTGTTAACAGATTGGTGCACAACAACATGATACAATTTTTAAAAATGGGATATGTAAACAACATACTTAAATTGCATTGTATTGGCCTCTTTAATATGAGGATAGGTTTCATGTTTGTGAGCAAGTCTTTGTTAAGATTTACAACTGGTTTGCAGTTGAGCATCTCCTTGGCTTGTGCAGTATACTTCCTGCATGGCATGACACTGAATTTTATCCTGCCTATGGGTAGATAATGATGAAACATGGCATTCAGTGGTTGTCAAGTAGATGGTCTAGTTGTGCATGTTGTGCTTAATTTTACCTGTTCTTATGCCCTAGACTTCAGAGGAGGGATCGCTGCGTGCACTGGAGAGTCTTATGACGGAGTTCTTTCACAGCTGTACGACCAATGAGCGAAAGAGAGAAATAGGTAAGTTTGGTCTCACTACACATTACAAGTAAAAATGTGACTAAGTCTGAAAAAATTTGTTTGATAACCTTTTCCACTAGTTGTTTTATCATATTAACCTCAAATTTGAAGGCATGTTTTACTCAAACTGAAATAGATGTCAATCTGCCAATCTCGTTTTGTTCTTTGATTTAAAAAATAGCGTGGAACAGTTGGCAGATAGCTGGATCATCAAATACAATGTACAGTGTTTATTGCGAGCTGAAATGATTTTGTTTCTACCAGAAGTATTATATGTTGCTGTTTTTATGCACTTCCTGTGTTGTGACGCATTACTTTCTGGCTGTTTGCAAGTGAAGTACTGCATCGACTGTCAGTGATCATGCCCACTTCCTTTTTTCTGCAGAAGAGCTGCTGAATAACTTTGCACAGCAGACTGGAGCATGGCGGCATTGTTTGTTCTTCCTTTCCAATACTCAGAATGAGTATGTAATGATGTACAGCCTCACAGTATTTGAAGTAAGTTCTGTTTGTGAAATATACATATTTTAAGATCATAGTACTCTCTGGAGCATTTACCTTTTTATGATTTGAAAATAAGATGGTACACAGAGAAAAGTATGGTTTTATAGGCCCTGAATTCATGAAGTGGTGAAGAGCATTAGTTTGTTTTTGTTTTGTTTTTCTCATTTCTTTAATTCTGCAAAACAAAGGTTAAGCATGCTTTGACCTCTTATGACATACTTTCAGGTTCACTAATGTATATCTGAGATGGGTATTTGTAGCACTGCGTTAATAGTGAAAGGTGTTTCAGTAAAATGTTTTTCTTAATAAATTAAAAGAACTGATTAGAGTACAGTATAAAATATTTGTAGCCTTTTTCAGACACAGCTTTGACAGCCGATTTTCCCTTTACTTTCAGAACTTGGTGAACAAGATGTGGATTGGCATTGCTTCACAAGACAAGATGGAGATTCGCAGCTGTCTGCCCAAGCTCCTACTTGCTCAGCACAAATCAGTGCCCTATTTCATCCGTAACAAACTCTGCAAAGTCATTGTGGACATTGGTCGCCAGGACTGGCCAATGTTCTACCATGATTTCTTTACAAACACCCTTCAGGTAAGCCCTGCTGATGTCATTTCTACTATTAATATATTTAGTTTGTATTCAACAGTAGCTGGGGCTTGGTCGTTGTCTTCCTAAATGGAACTAAAGCTAACTAAGACACAGAAGTCACATAAAACAAGACTGTTAATACCGTACATGTTTTCTTTGATAATTTGAAGTTGTCAAACGAATTCAAACAGAATTTACTTTAAATTACTGTGTTTCAAACAATATATGCTGGTCGTTGAGTGTTTGCAGCCTGCAAAAAAGGTCACTGTATGCAATGAGGAGGTGGCTGGACATGAATGACTTGAACATTCCTAAGTGTAGAATATATATATGACGCATAAGAACACTGCAATTTCATTATTACATTACATTTTAGAGTGTTGTACTATTGATGGATGTAATAGGCTGCTTCTCCAGAGCACAGTATTGAAAAAATAGTAGTGTTGGTTGCAGACATTGAAACATCAAAAAGGGACTCAAACTGTTTTCTTTCATTACAAGATGACGCAATTAATTGATTAAATATAAACAGGAAAATCAACAGTCTACAATGGAGTTTATAAAATGACATGAATCTCCATTTGCACGCCTCTTATCTGAAAGAGCAGAGAACTCATCTAACAGGAAAATCATATCTGTTTGGACATGAGATTAAATAAACTGCAAGGTTTTCCTACAGGAAATTGATTAATGAGGTGGTAAGCCACAACTAGTAGCCTAGATCCTGATCTTGCCTTGTGATCGATGTGTGCTAAGTTTACAGGCTCTATTAGTAGCATTCTGGCAGAGACTGTTGTGTAAAATCTGTAGGTAGTGAGCAAAATTCAGTAATTATCTTTA